ATAATGCTCAGACCAAGTTGCATATGTGTCTCGCGTCCCGCGGCTGGCAAGCAGCATTGAAAATGCCGTCGCGATTGGGGTTTCCCCAGCTGAACGGTGAATCTAGCGAATTAAATTGCTGGACCCTAGGAAAATTGCGCCAAGGCGTCAAAATCTAGAGGCTTCGGTACTTGGCTCGGGATGGAAAAGTCGTACTGCATAGTAAAAAGCTTCATCGGCTAGCCGTGTTCAAGTGCCATGGCGATGCTATTTACACGACCCCATGACAGCAATTTCTTTAGCGGCCTTCTGACTCGCCGGTACCGAGGCTTTCCAATCATGAACCGTGGAGTGCCTCCGCATTTCTCGCCATTTTCTCCCCATTTTCTCCCCCGAGGACCCGCAATGGAGCCAAAAACCCCGGAGAATAACTACCCCAGGCGCAGGAGAGCTCCGACTGGGCAAACGCGTGGGATTAGTGTCTTGGCTATGCACACTCTGACATTTCTCAGAAGCCTTCAGATCTGTGGTTATTAGTGTTTGCCCCCGGTGCCCTCAAGTGGCTCACCCTGAGCCATAGTTTTTCCTGTAGTCCTCTTATTTAATACACCCACTCCCTTTGACCATTCTCACGACAATCAACACATCACCTGGTACTGAGACCACCTTTTTCATCGGGGGAACGCGAGCAAAATGCCGTCCTTTGAGTTGCAACCGAGCTCGTCTCGACGAGACGAGGTCGAGGAGGTGCCAGGCACGAAAGCGGACATTGATCTCATTGAGAGCGCAGGAAATGGACACGCAGTCACATCCGTCGAGTCGATGGTTGCTCGTCTGCCAAAAGCACACCGCGACTATCTGATGGAGCGACACGGGACTTTGGAACTCGATCCTATCCCCGGAATGAGTCCAGCTGACCCTTACAACTGGCCTGAGTGGAAGGTAAGTCAATATTCTCCCTGTTACAAAATCTTGAAACAGGACAAAAGCAAATGATCCCGTCAGACAGAATACTGATATGTCAACGCGCAGAAAATGACCAACCTTGTCCTTGTGGCGTTTCACGCCTGCATGGGCACATTTACCGCCGCCGGCATTATCCCTGCCTTTTTAGACATCTCCACAGAGCTCGGCGTCGGAATGCAAGATGCTAGTTACTTGACCTCTTTGCAAATTGCCATCCTTGGAGGTGCGCCTCTGTTCTGGAAGCCGCTGTCCAACAGGTATGGGCGCCGGCCAATCTTCCTCCTCTCTCTCATCTGCAGTCTTGTGTGTAATATCGGCTGTGCCAAGAGCACCACATATGCCTCTCTGGCGGCTTGCCGGGCCCTCGTGGCCTTTTTCATCTCGCCTGCCTCCGCCATCGGCAGTGCGGTTGTGATGGAGACAACCTTCAAGAAAGATCGCGGCCGTTACATGGGTGTTTGGACACTACTGGTCACCCTGGGTGTCCCCGTTGGGCCTTTCATTTTCGGCTTCGTCACCTATCGCGTTGGTTATCACTGGATCTTCTGGATCCTCGCAATTGTAAGTTCACATTCCCACGGTAGTCAATACTCTATTAATGAGCTGATACATCTAAAGATCAACGGCTGCCAGTTCATCTTGTATCTGTTCCTTGGCCCTGAAACTCGTTATCTGGGCGGCGGCATCGACAGCAAGGAGTCAACGATGAAGATCGAGTACATGTCACTGCGACGGATCGACCCCACACCATTCTCATGGTTCGAGTTCATCCGTCCACTGACCATGGCCCGACACCCATCAATCCTCATCCCAGCGTGCGCATACGCAATGGTTTTCCTCTTCGGCAACATTCTCGCAACCGTCGAGATTCCCCAACTCCTGCAAGAGAAGTTCGAACTCAACGCCGAACAGCTTGGCATGCAGTTCCTAGGCGCAATTATAGGATCCGTAATCGGCGAGCAAATGGGCGGCGTGCTGTCAGACTTCTGGATGAGCCGGCGCAGCCGACGCATCAACCGCAAGACCGAGCCGGAATTCCGTCTGTGGCTCAGCTACTTCGGTTTCGCGCTCACCATAATCGGCATCATCGTCTTCCTGGTCTGCACGCAGGAGTCACCCAGCGGACACTGGAACGTAACGCCCATTATCGGCACCGCTATTGGCGCTGTCGGGAACCAGCTGGTCACCACGGTAATGATCACCTATGCTATCGATTGCTTCCCGCAGGAAGCTGGTAACATTGGTGTGTTCATCACGTTTGTCCGGCAGATTTGGGGCTTCCTTGGTCCTTTCTGGTATGTTTTCTTTCTCTGCGTTTCATTTTGCAAGGTCGTCGCTAACCTCAGCTCAGGTTTGCTCCCATGTTCGAGACTGTCGGTATCGCTCCCAGCGCGGGAATTGGATCTGCGCTGGTTGTCTGCGTCAGTGTCATTCCCACCATCTTCTTGCAATGGCGGGGTAAGGGTTGGCGTAGCGAGGAGTAAAGGCACTGGGATGGAAATTGACTTCGGTTTCGGTGTTTCACGTTCACAATTTTCGATGTTATTGTCTCGGGCTTGGGTTTTCTAGAGTATCAGTGGGTATGATATAGAGTGATCGGGTTCGGGTTCGGGTTAGATGAGTCGGCATCGAACACGGCAACGTGGTTCTAGATTGCATATAGGTAGCTTGACCAATGAATAATTGTATGATTCTTCAAAGAGCTTTGGCAATGGGCGAGAGACAATACACCTGGTTAGTACATAACAGCAGCATCAAAAAGACAAGTTGAGTTCTGCTCAAGAAATCACATCGCCATCTGTAGGGATCTGTAGGGATGTGTATAGAGGCATAAAAATTCGATATCACCTGGAACAGCAACACTCCTATAAAGAAAGGAGTAGAAGATAAAGAGAAGGATTTTAAATCAACAATAGAGATCTAGCAAAAACTCCTTTGAAAAAAAGAGCCAGAGACTATCTCTTAAGGACCACTCCGGGCGGGAACAGCTCGGGACACCGACCCGATATAATTCCGTAGCGCGGGTCAACGAGGCCCACGGGCGGCCCTGGCAGACAATTGACAACTGCCGGGTGAAGAGTTTCTTGCAGCCCTGCTTAAATGTTTCCAGCATGCACCATAAATGAAGGAGTGAGATGTTATTCCTATACAGTTCTACTATGGGGTTCATGCTATACAATCAAATATACTAGTACGATAGTTACATTTGATCAGTAAAAGGCCAAGCATCAAATCCAAGGTTTTGCCTTTTCCTAGACACTTTAGCGAGCTTTTGTCTACAACACAGTTGTCCGAAGTTATACAGGGCGATGTGTGGGAGAGACTTACTCCGGGTAAGGAAAAATTCATTTCCGGTTGGGTTCTGTGATTGGTCAAAGCTTCGCGATATAGCTGTTGACTCGCGTTTTTGCAGAATCCCTTACCTTGTGGTTTGGAGCCAGGATTTGAATATATCTATGTTGTAGTTCGGTGGATTGGATGGTCATTATTAGTGGCCGCCTTTATTGCGCCGTATATAGGGAACTTTGGATGGTTGTGCAGGAAATCATCCCGCACAGAGTTTACGTGACTACGGCATATATATGATTTTACAGTTGCCAGAGCAGCTCAAAGTCCCATTGACTATATATAATTGGAGACTATTGTTTCAAGAAGTCACATCTATCGTTTTATATCCTGGAATAATCACTGATGCTCAATCTTGTTGATAAGTGTTCCAACGTGAGGTAGCAACTCAACGGCGAACTCGTCGCCAGCCTTGAAAAATTCCTTCGGATTCCTAGCTGCTCCGACACCGGGCGGAGTGCCGGTCAGGATGATTGTACCGGCAGGCAGGGTGGTGCCTTGGGAGAGGAAGCTGATTAGTTGAGGGACGCTGAAGATCAGGTCACTGCGATGAAATTCAATGTTAGTTGATGTTATTTTGTATACCAGAAGCAATGGGAAGCAAATATAACGTACGTCAAGGGGCAGTTCTGCATTATGTTGCCGTTCTTGAGACCACGAATCTGAAGCTTGCTGGCATCAGGGACGAGAGCAGCGGAAACGAGAACGGGGCCTATAGATACCGAGTCAGTGTAAAATTCTCCTGGATATTATACAGTCCATGAACAAACCAATCGGGCATGCGCCATCAAAGCCCTTTGAAAAAGACCACTGGCTCTGATTCATCTGAGAGGCGCGACTAGAAACATCGTTCGCAGCTGTGTAGCCAAGAACGTAGTCGAGGGCCTCGGACTCGGGCACATCCTTAGCGTCACGGCCAATGACAATAACCATCTCAGACTCGTAGTCGCCTGTGTTATCTTGCTGTGTAATCTTGGGAAGAACTGTTGGTGCAGGCCAAGGGTCAGCCAGAGAGCTGGCCGGCTTCATGAACAATGTCGGCACTTCGGGGATTGGGAGACCCATCTCCTTGGCGTGGGAAGCATACTATAGTGCGCATTAGCAACTTCATTTCTCTTGAATGTTCCTTTCATGATTAAAACCCACGTTCAAGCCAATACAGCGAATAGTTCCAACCTCGCTTTGCGCCAAGGGGGACAGAATCCGCGCGATGGTCTCCGTCGCATCAGTCACCTGGCCAGGGCTCAGGACTGAAGTACCGGAGAACGGGCGTACTGAAACCTCCTTCCCCTGGTAGAGAGCCAATCCAACATCCAACTTAGGATCGACGGGCTCCCCGATTAGAACCTTGGCGGGGTTTGACTTAGGGACAAAGCGTACCAAGCCTATTTGCCGTCAGTCTGGATATCCGGGTCAATCTGAGAGAGTTCTTACGCGAAAACGTAGATGCGATTTTGGACATGATTGTATTAATTGGAGAATCAAAAGAGGATACAAGTGAATTGAAGCAGAAACCCCATATATAATAAGAGCTGTCGCGACCGATAGCGGAGTATGTCTACCCCGGCACTGTATAAGCCGGAGGGGCAGCTTCCCACAATGTGGGGAAGTGGCGAGCGCGGCCGATTTCAGCTTGGAGAATAAAAAGAACAAAATCCCCGCGATGGTCGTGGTTGTGTAGTCATTATTCCTATCCGTATCCCATCGTCATGTCTGCTCCTAAAGGTCCCTTCCACCTGGTTAGTGTCAACACCGCTCCCGAACGCGCCAGGCGCCTTATCGGCCGCGTCGCCGAGGCTCTGAGCGATCGGTACACTATCATCCACGTCGACAACTGCGAGAGTAAGCATATTGAGCGTCATTATTGAGAGTGAATCTCGGCTGACAGAATCTCGCACAGGAATCGACGAGGTCGAGGCCAAGGTCAAGCAGCACAACCCGGAGGTTCTGGTAAGTCCGAACTTCGGGATTTCCGAACATTCCCAAGCTGGAATTTCAAATTAACGTCCTGAACAGTTCAGCGCCTCTATGTGGACCGCTGAGGAGGCTGCGCAGATTCACCAAATTGCTCGCTCTGTTCGACCTGATATCAAGCTGCATGCCATTCCCGAGGGCTTGCAGGTCGAGCGTGGCCCTGATGCCATTGTTGAATATCTGCTTGAGAAGGTGCCGGTGCTGCTGGACAGCTAAACATTGTAAATATATATGACCATGATATATCCGTGTCTCAATAAACGTTCGATGACTAGTATTTATGACGTTGCTCTCAGTTAGGTCCACGGGTATGGAAACTTTGCCTTGTGATATCTCCGCAGGCACCATAGTATGTTCTTCTAAGCCGCAAAGTAACCGCATTAAACGCATTTTATGCTGATGAAACAGAGAAGACAGAAAGCCATACAGGGCTTTTTAAAATATTGGAACTTTCGATAGCCTGGCAAATCCGACTTCAGAAATGAGTCAGTCGGCCAGAAGCGAGACAGTCGACGAGAAAAGAAGGGTCCCGTGACTACACTAACTCTGAGTGACTTTAACTACATGCGAACCACCTACAAGCAACCTCTCGGTGTTTAAATACGGTGATTATACTGATACGTTTCGGGAAATTGAACCAGCAAGAATATGCACAGCCTGATACAGCATTCTATAGTGGCATCTCGTACGGCACCCTTGACCACCCTTGGCCACCCTTGGCAATGCCACACACCGAGATATATCTGTGCAATGATCCGGGGCTGAGTGGTTCCTGCCCATCGATTGGCTCCAGTCTACCAAAAATTCTGAAACCAGAAGCAACCGCCTCTCGCTGAGATTTGTGGATCCATCGAGCGAAACTGGACGAGTAATCTACAGCCCCCAAGCCCTCAACACGGCACCTGCTCAATACGACAATTCTGCCCAAAAATGGTCACTCGATGGCTTCCTATCCAATAGTTATTCGGTGAACACGAGCTCCATCCCGCTTCAACCCCTTGGCACCTTGGCATTCAGGGTCAGCCAGGTATAACTCCCGGGTTATCACTTCACTAGGCACAAAACGAATCATTTTCACGGTCAAAGCCCGTGCTTATAAGCTCATGCTCGACCGGGGCATTTTCTAGTTCTCTGTTTTCTTCTTGTTGATGAAAATCTAGAATAATGAGCTGACAGACGATTCTATCTCGATATTCTATAAGCTGATTCACGAGTTCGAGAGCAATGTTACTTCGTCGCCCTTTTCTCACAATCCTGGCCTTACTAGCCGTCCCAACGCGGGTATTATCACGAAAGGGCGGCGATGGCTCTAGCAGCGACAGCGATAGTGGTAGCTCCAGCGGCTCCAGTGATAGCGATGACACCTCTTCGTCAACACCATCCTCAGGCGGACTCGACTGCTTTGATACCCACCGCCTTGACTTTGACGATCTTCAACCTTCGCACTACGACCAATACAATCGGGAACCACGCCGTGGTCATGCTAGTGCTTACAGCGATTGGGATGGCGTCTTCTTCAAAGGCTCAGCCAGTTTCAAATACACAATCCAAACACCACCTAACAATTTGACAGAAGGCGACATCGTTAGTTCATCTTTCATCACATGCCCCGTTGGCACACAATCCATGCGCATGCTAGGCGCTGCATGGGTCGCTGCCAAAGCTCCCACTCCCGCCGGACCTCTCAATCCCATCACGTTGGGGTTCAAGGCCTGGAAGAGCAACGTGCGCGTCTCGGATATCGATTATTCATACAGTGTCTGCGAAAACGTGGATATCATGCGCCTCACTACGACGGTGGACTGGTACAATGAAACTTCAGTCGAGAAGGCCATGGATGCAGTTGCGTTAAATATAACCCAGGCGGCTGATAACAACAAGATTCTGTTCGACGGGGTCTATGATCTTAAGGACTGGGCAGATAGTGAAAGGAGCTCCATGGAACCAGCACGCTATGACAACGCCGGTCTTTCGGATCAGATGATTTCCCTTCCGGATAGTCTATGCTCCGAGTACAGCAATTTGGGTAAAATCCTCATTGGATGGCCCATTGGGACACACATCAATGGGTCTATGACCAATGAAACTCTTGAGTTGGGGTTTTCTGGCTCGACAATTGCTGGGTTTTCACATCGTTATCCATGGCCGGACACCGACACGGAAGTAAATGTGACTTTCGAATTTACATTTGCGGGCAGTTATGATGCTGCGAATTCATCGCAGGTGGTTCTACCAGGGGCGTCGAGCCACAATGCGTCGCTAGTCACATTTGAGAGGGCGACTGGTAGTGCCACTGTCACAAGTCTCTCATTGTACTCTGTACTACTATCTTTGTTAGTCAGTGTTGGGGTGATATTTGTGTGAGTATACAACTCTGGAAGGAAATATATAATTGCTTCGCTTCGCTTCGCTTCGCTTCGCTTCGCTCCGCAATCAAGTTATCATCAATATATTCTCCCTTCTACTTCCTTTTCGTTGTCATGAAAAAACTTAAGAACAAGAGAATTCATTTTCAAGTTATCCTCCACCTTTGCTAACACCTCAATAGCCCAGCATCACTAGGACATATACCTAAATATTAAACCGAAGAAGTCGCAAATGGCAGTAATTTGTCACTCCATACTTAGTAACCATTTTTGCCTGGGACGATTCCATAGCAAGGACCATTCTTGCTAAACATGGCCCGCAAGTCTTGGACAATAAATTCAGGAACCTCCCAAGCGGCAAAGTGACCTCCACGAGGATGCTCGTTCTGTTGAACAACTGGACCTAGGCCAGTGGCCCAAGAGCAAGGAATGACAGAAATTTCACGAGGAAGGTGTGCAATTGCCAGCTTCACTCGCGGGACGTATGCAATCAAGTCCTTGTAGGATATTCCCTTGACCACCTCAGCGTGAAAAGCTTCATAGTATATGCGGACACTAGCAGAGGGTCCGGCTGTAGAAAACCAGTAGATAGATATCCATGTTAGGATCTCGTCGTCGGTCCAGGCATATGAGTCTGTCCAGTCGTGCAGCTTCTCGTAAATCCAGGCTAACAAGGCAACAGGGCTGTCTTCTAGTGCTGCTCCAATGGTCTGTGGCTTGGTGCTTTGGAGTTGGTTGTAACCGAAGCCTTCTCGATTAAACCACTCAGTCCTTTCGCGACCTGCCTTTTCCCGGTCATTGTACGGCAGCAATGCGTGTTGCAGGGCTGTCCATGGGTTATTGATGAATTTAGGGGGCTTGGCCAGCACCATGTTTATATGAGAGGCTCGGCAGTGCTCGGGGTATAGTAGACCGATGGTTCTAGTAATCCAGAATCTCCAATCTCCTCCCTGGGTCACTGTGCATAATGGAGTTAGTTCAGGGCTACATTTTGGTTCTTTTCGACCTATACCATACTGATCATAGCCCAGCTTGATCATGAGCTTGTGTAGGACTTCGGCATATTGTGCAAGGCCAAAGCCACGTTGAGTCACTCCTGAAGAGAAACCGAAATTGGGCAGCGATGGAGCCACAACGTGGAATGCAGGACTGTGGTCGTCGCCTTTCAGCATCGGTAGCAGTTTCGTGACTTCAACGAACGATCCCGGCCCTATTTAGAGATTAGACACCGCACAGCGATAGGACAAATTATAGATTCGATTAATGAGGATACGGATACTCACATCCATGGCTAAAAAGTAGTGGAATTGCGTTCTTGTTGGTGTTGATTTGGTGGACATCTACATGTTGAACCGCGTGAATCTCGGACACTGAGGAATCCGTATTGCGTAAAACTCACAGTGGATATCCAAACTGCCAAACCCATCTACCTCGATCCGCGTTTGATATTGAGGCAGTTCATTCAACTTGGCTTCTGCCTTCCGCCAGTCAAAGCCATCCTTCCAATACTCTATGAGTCGCTGCACTTCTTTCACGGGAGTTCCAAAATCCCAAGGATCTTGTTCAGCGGACTCCAGCTGAGTTGCGAATTTGGTAAGTGCTAGGCGTTGCTGGAGGTCTTGGAGATTCTCATCAGGAATGGAAATATTGTACAGTTTCGGTTGGTCAGCCATAACGAAGTAGTTCGATTTAATTCGATGAAAACTAGAAGCTATCTGACGAGGCAGTGGAGCAGGAGCAGTGTTGCGGGGGAGACTTTGAGCTTGAGATGAAGTCGGTCAGTTACAAATCTCCGAGGCCCGGGGGCTTCACCGCCGGGTATCCCACAGGCCTTAACGCCTAACTAGTACGGAGTACCGGGACAATGTTTACTCACTAGTGCTCTGTTGCTGTTCGATATTATGCTATGTCACGCTCTTGAACTCTTAAATTAAATCATCTACCATTTATTGACCACATTACCCTAATAAAATGATCCAAGAACAACTTAGAAGTCGTAAGAAATTTTACAATAAATAAATGCCCTGAGTCAGGAGGGTGGACGGCCTTGGGGTGGGGGCTTCGAGGGGCTTTGAGGCCGACAATTGTACCTAAATGTCCCCTGGAAAGTGCGCCCCTGGTGGCGCAAGGCCCCGATCGAGGACTCGGCTCCTTCCCGGTCTTCGAATCCCCGGGAGAGTGTAGGCCGGGCCCGGGGCCTTCCAACGTTGGGGCCCCTGAGGCCATGAAAGTAGCTTAGTCAGCAAGCAGCTGGCCCGCGGGCCCGGGCGGTAATTCCAAGGTTTCCAATCATTGATCTCTTGATACTTGCCATTCTCTCAACCTGAAATCGGAACATGTTCTCTCTCCGGACTGTTGCACGCGGTGCTCCAGGTATCCGGGCTTTCTCCACAGCCCGGATACTGCAGACCAAGCTGGCATATCAGGTCTTTGGTCCGGAAAAAGACCAAGCTGTCCGGGACCCCATCCTGTTTCTACACGGTTTATTTGGGTCAAAACAGAACAACCGCAGTATTAGCAAGTAGGTTTCGGGACCAGATCTATGAATCAAACTTCCTGTTCTTACATATCTCTTAGGATTTTGGCACGGGATCTGAAATGCCAGATCTTCGCACTGGTAAGTTTCCGCTTGTCCCCGGAAAGACATGAACAAAACGTCATTTAAGAATCCTAAACAAATCTGCACAGGATCTACGTAACCATGGCCATTCTTTCCATGCACGCGAGCAGAATTACGGCGTCATGGCGGAGGATGTACAGGAATTCATCAAACAGCACAAACTGGACAAATGTGTCCTGATCGGGCATTCCATGTATGTGATCATACTCCATGTCAACCGTAGCTCAAGTGCTCTTCAAATACTAACAATCAAAGGGGTGCCAAAGTGGCAATGGCGGTAGCATTGCGCGCCCCCGAATGCGTGTCAGCTTTAATCCCCGTTGATAACGCACCGGTGAATGCAGCACTGCAGAGCGATTTCCACAAATATATCCGCGGCATGCAGAAAATCGAAGATGAGAAGGTGTCAACGCAATCTGATGCTAACAAAATTCTCGAGCATTATGAAAAGGTAAGGGGTGGTCATCTTTTTAACTAGGGGAGAAGGCGTGGCGATGAGCCTTGTACCCTTCGGTAATTTTTAGCATGCTAACACTACCCAGTCTCTTCCAATTCGTCAATTCCTTCTCACCAACTTGATACGCTCTGAAGATAACACACTCAAGTCCCGAGTGCCGCTATCCATCATCGGCGGTGCATTAAATAATATGGCCGATTTTCCTTTCAAGGAATCCGATAACCTCCATTATTATGGCCCGACGCTCTTTGTTCGTGGCACTAGGTCTAAGTATGTTTCGGACGACACTGTGCCGGCTATCAAGAAGTTTTTCCCCAACGCGCAGATTGTGGACGTCGAAGCGGGTCACTGGCTCATTTCTGAGAAACCGGAAGAATTTCGCCAAGGTAATTCCCTATTGACAATAATTAATAATAGTTTATGGCTTACACGATGATAATAGCGGTCGTGAAGTTTTTGAAGTCGATATAATTTGGGACGGCATTATTGGGTTAGGATATCGGTCACGTGACTTAGAATTTAGACGCATATGTACTAGAGATTTCCATTGTACAGTAATAATTCACTCATTGGTGTGCTGAGTAATATCGATTTGAATAGAAGATCGCCCGGCTTTGAGCCTATCGACCGTGTGGCGAAGACGTATCTAATAATGCTTCCTCTTAAAGCTGGATTGCGTAGATATCGATGGTTCACGTGGGAAGTCGTAATTCGAGAGTGACGGAGGGGGAAGAACGAGCCCACGGCGATAGTTGTGAGAACATAATATGTAGGAGATCAGGTTTGGACCTGCTCATTCATTCTGCTTGTTCCGCTTTCGCTTCTTGCCAGGTCTGCTTGATGAATAAAACAGATCTTCTGCCTGCTCCGCCCTCTTCTTTGCCCTCTTCTTGTCTTTTCTGTTGGAGCCTGAAGCAAAATATGACGGACCAGAAGAGCTAGGAGCCGGGGAATAGTCAATTACCGAAGAGGATTCGGTTGTGTTTCTTTCGTCATCGGAGTCTATTACAGAGGACACCCGTCGCTTCCCTTTCAAATGTAGAACCTGACGGGGTTCGGCGGATTTGCCAGAATACGGCGACGGATGACCGGAGCTGGGTCCACTGGGCGTTTGTGAGCGCTGTCGAGCCTGCATCGCAGTGTGATTTGACTTCGAACCGCTTGGTGTGCAATTTTCGGCCGGACCCTTCCCGTTGACCTGCACTGGCTGATATGAACCTAGAGCAGGGCCCATGGGGACTGTCTTGGGGGTTGTGGTAAGTCTTGGAATAAAAACACGACCGTTTGGTTGTGATTGAGGAGTTTCCTGTCCATCGATGCGCTCCTCCATTGGTCTATCAAGAATATCGGAAATCTTTGCTCCCCCTGCAAGCGCCTTGAAAGTATCTTCAGCTTTCCTCAGACGTTTGATGTACATCTTCACCTCATCCCCCTGCTCAGTGAATTTCTCCAGTGATACCGGTGGCTCCCGCTCTTCAAGGGCTTTCACCTTTTCCCGGAGTTTGCCGAAATCGTTCTCTTCGGTTGCGTTATGACCTTCCAACTCTTTGAGCTTTGTCCTGAGTGCCCCAAGATCCGCTTTCTCCGCTGTGCTTAGGGCTTCCAAGTCTTTCAGTTGTTTCCGGAGTTCGTTGAGAACTTCATCCTCGGTTTTGTTCCGACCTTCCAGGCTTTCTAGCCTCATCGAGATATTGCCAAGACCATTTTGCGTGGTAGCGTCTCTCTCCTCCGCGGCTTTTGTTAACTCGGCGACCGCTTTTTGGACGGATTCGAGTGTCGAGAAATGAGCATCAATCCTACCGATGAATGGATCGATCTTTCTTATAGACTCATTGATGTTGTCAAATTGTGCAGACTGCTCAGAGGCCGTTTGATCCATGCCTCCGATGGCGTCGTCTTGGGCGGAGATCCTGTTGGATAA